AAAGAGGAGGGACAGTCAGAAGCGCCACCCCTGGAGGAACCGGCGCCATCCATGCAGTATGCCAGTGGCGATCAAATCCCTCTCCTCATGTGTGGGGATTTGAACTCGTCTCCGGGGTCGGCAGCATACAACCTGATTGCGCATGGTCGGCTCGACGAGGAGCACCCGGATTTGGAGAAGCGTCTTTATGGCAATCTCAGCAAAGTCGGTATGACCCATCCTTTCAAGCTGAAATCCGCATATGGAGCTATTGGCGAACTTCCCTTTACGAACTACACGCCAGACTTCAAGGATATCCTTGATTATATCTGGTATTCTTCAAACTCGCTTCATGTTTCGGCGTTACTCGGAGAGGTGGATAAGGACTATCTACAGAGGGTGCCCGGATTCCCTAATTATCATTTTCCAAGTGATCATATCGCATTGTTCGCGGAGTTTACAGTTAAAGGGAAAAAGGGTAAGGTCGTGGAGGCGGACTTTGGGCCGCAACGGAATTGAGGGAACGGAGCATGTTGAACGTCATGAGACTGGTGTTTGTGTAGCCGGTTTTTCTTGTTCTTTCGGAAACTTTGGGGGCCTTTCGTGTATCTCTGGTGTTGTTATTTGCTTTGCTCTGTTGTTTTCTACATTTCTTGTGGTTACATTCCTTGCTTTTGCTGTCATCCGAGGGCACTTGCTCAATTGAACTCGCTTGTCATGTTCTTGGAAAGTAGTCAATTGCGCGGTATCCTTTTCTCCTCCTGGGCCTTCTGCGTCTTTGGTGTCTTCTTGAGTGCTGCTTCCCTGTCAACTCAGCGGTGCCCCTGCCACAATCGACGCCATAGGCAGCGAATGCGGCGTGAGGTAACAGGAGAACATCGCCCTGTCTTTTCATCTTCTCAATCTAGGCGAATGGGGTTCATCGCTGCCGTGTACGTCTTTCTTGATTTTGCTACTTCATCCATGAATCAACGCCGTGGCCTCTTGAAGTGAGACAACAGGCCTGCTGCTGTTCGAATTACCAATTAGCTGTTGTGATCGTAGCGATAAGTCAGATTCCCTGAATGAGTTGACGGTGCTGCATCGCCTAAGGCCTAGAAACAAATAAGCAATGAAGATAGTATACATTCCTAGCCTAGTGTGTATTGTACAGTGCAGGATAATGGGGATGCAATGCAATATCTATCACAAATGGGTATCCTGACATGGTTCCTCATCCAAGAAACAGTTTAATCCTTCGACGAATCTTCGATCCTTCTCCACACGCCGACGAAACCTCCGCCCACGATCCTAGTTCCGACTTTAGGTCGGCACACCAGCACGCTATCCTCTTGCCTGGCAGCTTCTTCAGGAGCAGCAGGTACACTTTCTACACCGGCGTCAGAGGAGTCTTCATCGGTCTCCACCGAGTCCGCGGCCTCAGTCCACGAGGACGGGTCCGCACGCGACTTCTTCACGGCGAACCGCACATCCCAGAGCCGGCCACTGCTGATGCCGGAGCCGAGCTCCACAACCTTCTCAAGGATGAAGGGTAGCCTTTGCCGTCGGATGAGGTCCACGCAGTCGCCGACCTGGGTCACGCTTGGCATGAACACGACAAGGATGCCGTCTCTTTTCAGGATGGGGGCGACGTGGGGGATGCGCAGGTGCGCAGAGGGCATGTCGAGGATAGTGTAGGAGAGGAACGGCTCGACTGTGTCGGCGGTCGACAAGAGCGATCTCGATGCGCGCGCCTTCTTCTGCTCTGTGATCCAGTTCTCCACGTGGCCGACGTAGAAGTCGACATTCCCGGCGTAGGTTCCGCGGCGGAACCCGCGGACGATCTTCTCGGCGTGGGCGGAGAATTTTGGTGAGACGTCGACGGTGTGGATGATGGCTCGTCGTTGAGCGCGCCAGATGTCCCATTGCTGCTGAGTTTGCTGCTCGACTGATTCAGCTGGGGATTCTTGGCCGGCGGTGCTGGTTGATTTGGGGTCTGCCTTTTCCGCGTCGGTTCCTGGCCGGATCGGTCGGCCCTGCAGGTATTGAATCTGGGATTTCTGTGGGAGAGGAGGTGGAATTGAGTTGGCTGCTTGGATCGCGCGCGCGAGGTGGAGAGTGAGGGAGCCATGACCCGTGCCAGACTCGAGGATCTCCAATGGTGGCTGTTCCTGGGATCCTTCTGTTGGGGGAGTGACGTGGATATCGAGGAGGGAGACAATCAAGTTGGCATCGGCGGAATAGATCTACTGGGACGTTCGTGAGTAGGAGTTTGGACTAGAGAGCAATGGCGACTGATCTCATACTGGTGTGACGAGACGGGGTGTCATGGAAACATATTCGTCGAGGGTCGGAAGGCTTAGTCGGTAGTCAGGGCCTGCATTGCGACGGTGAATTAGTTATATTCCTCGTGGTTAAGAGCCTCGGATTGACCTACCCTTATGCGCCTTGACAAGATCTCGTACTCGCTGGCCGATGATGCTATCGTGTTCCAGTACTCCTCGTCGCACATCGGTCTTCTGCCCTCTCCGAAGGGGCTTTGTCAACGATGGAGTTTTGCCATGAACAACGACTCTGTCCCCCTCTAACACAATGATTGATCAGCATATACAGGCGCAAAAGCCATTGCCTATCTCAACGGGCTGTACCTCTAAAGAAAGAAAAATTCGTATCAATCGACCCCGAAAATTTCGGAACGGGCTTGGAGGGAGTCAGCCCCAAGACTCGGCGCAGAGATTGAAAAAGACGAGCCATCCAATGCTGCTTGCTGATAGAAGAAGGGTTAAAAAAGGATCAGTGCAGAGTTCAGAAAAAAGAGTTGTTCAATTGCGATGAGGGTTAGCAGTGGCCAGAATCAAAAACTTTTTGACGGTTATCGGCCTTGTCGCTATCGGAACTTCTCTATCAAAACAGGGGCGTGTGGGGACTGGGGAATTGCCATCTTCCCAATCCCAGCGCCTCCGCATTAATTGGCCCAGGAGAGCATCGAAAAATCACCCAATGATCATCCTGAATTCCCTCACCAGTAACTTTGCTAAGTTACTCCGAGTGCTAACGGCGAAGCAAGCAAAGTGAAGAGGTCAAATCAAATTGAGTCTAGTCGCATTCTGGCCGATGCGCGGGGCAGTAACTGTTGATCCCACCGGTGGGATGAATCATGGGACAGACGGATTTTGGCGCACTATTTCTTCCTTTCACATCCTTTGATTCCTGTTCAATCCATCGAGCCATCTATCGTCCTGATTCAACCCGAAATCTTCAGTCCTGCGCTCAAATAACCAGCCAATTTGCGCCATTTGGTTGGCTCCCCTCTCAAGTGGGTCTCCATTGACATCATCTTTTATGCATCGCTGAGCGAACCACCTTACCATAACTCCTAGAGATAGATAGCTATTCAGGATTCCATCGTACTCAAGGACTACCACTACCGACTGTCACCATGGGCTCTACCGAACTCCCTTACATGAAGACCAATCCCAAAATCATCTTCTTCACCGATTTTGATGGGACCATTACGCTGGCAGATAGTAAGCACACCTGGTTGTGAATTATACTATCAGAAGCTAATTGTCCGCCGTTGAATCTCAGGCAATGATTTTATGGTAAACTTCTTGACGTGAAACCCGATTCGGCATCTCAGGCTGATATATTCAGACCGACAACCTCGGATTCGGACGAGAAAAACGTCGCCAAGGGAATGCCGATGTGCTCCAAGGCAGAGCTACCTTCCGGTATGTGCAGTGCTTGGCATTGCTCCTAGCGAAGGCGTCGCTGACTTGTTCAATTATTCTACAGTGATGCCTTCCGCGAAATGTTGGATAGCGTCAAGACTCCTTTCAACAAGTGTATCGAGATCCTTCGACAGAACATGAAACTTGACCCCCACTTTGTCGAGTTTTACTACTGGGCCGAGGAGAATAACGTCCCAATTGTGGTCTTGTCATCGGGGATGAAGCCCATCATTACCGCCTTGTTCGAGTCATTGCTGGGACACAAGCCTCACAGTCATTTGCACATTGTTTCCAACGATGTGGAGAGCCGCGACGGCAAGGACATCAACACCGAGGGCGGCTGGAAAATCAAGTACCACGATGACACGTGAGAATATCGAAGACTCTCGATGTAAATGCTGCTTTTAGAAACTAATATGAGCCTTCGATAGTGATTTCGGACACGACAAATCCTTGGAGATCAAGCCGTATGCCGCATTGCCGCACGACAAGCGCCCTACTTTGCTCTATGCTGGAGATGGTGTCTCTGATCTGTCCGCTGCCGCAGAGACTGACCTTCTTTTTGCCAAAAAGGGGCATGGTAGGCCAACTCCTGTGGACCTTCGATCTTCGAGTATGCTGCTGATCACAATTCAGATCTGGTGACCTACTGCGAGCGCGAAGGAATGCCATTCACCACATTCGAGAGTTGGGAGTCGATCCTGGCCACCACAAAAGACATCTTGAGCGGCAAGGTGTCTCTAAAGACAGTGGCTGAAGAAGGCTTGAAAAAGGTGCACGAGGAAGGCAATTGAGATTCCACCGCCGCTGTATAGATCTGGGAGACGTTGGATCAAGGCTTCGACTGGTTTCGGGTGGTTCAATAGACAAGAGTAATATATCTTCAGATAACATCTATATATACATATATAGATGGCTACTATAGAAGATAGATTAGATGAGTGTCTCTACAGTAAGGTATCATCGGACAAGTGCTGTACTGGCCAATCAGGAAAGACTTTGTCGAGGCAGTCCCAAATAGGCTTAGACCGAGGAGCGCCCGCGGATCAGGGACTTCAATGACCCATAATAAACTTTAGTTCACATGTGACCGCCTTCCAGTCTCGAGTTTCTTGGTGCTACAAATACGGGGGCTCGGACAGTCGACATCTTCCATCCCCAGATCTGGCCCCCTTGAGATGGACTGACGATAATTAGGTCTTGTCCATGGTGTGGCCTGCTTTTATCTTATAGCCTCGTGTTCCCCATCATGCTTGAGCGTCTAGCTGCTTCCCATTCGCTCGAAGATCACCAGGGGCTCCTTTCATTAACATGACTCGCCGACTTGTATGGATTACTCGTTCAGAGTCGATTATTTCGTGTTCCGCTGCTAATGCACTCGATGATGATAATAGGTTCGGACGGGCGTGCAGCTCGCTGTCATCGCCTCAATTGCATTACTCCTTGTGGTGATTCTGGACAATAAATTTCGTGTGCTGCCGGCGTCCATCCATGGCCACCTTCCCTCTCACTATGCTGGCTACGTCGTCACCGATGTGACTGTTGTCACATGCTCTTCTCTCAGTCTCTTTTCCAGTTGCAAGGTGGACCCGAAGGCATGGTCTAGAATTGAAAAGGACCTCTATCTGCGCTCGGGGTGGACGTCCAGTGCTTATGTACAATTTCAACGGAAGAAGGAAGAGGAACTGCTCGCATCTGATAAGGTGGTGATCGATTTGAGGATAGGCCGACTGACACCGCAGTCCTCGAATGACCCACATGGAGAGAAAATTGACTGGGAGCAGAGGCCAGGTGGCATCTGGCTGAAGCGGACGGCCAAGCGCCATGCCAGTGACTCGCAGAAAGCGATCACCTCGATCGATGTTTTGTTCGGTGCGGACGCGGTTGATCCGCGTGTGGGCTGGGAGGTGAAAGACACTCCGCTGCTGCTGGATAGTCGGACAGAGGAGTTGGAGGCCCGCATCAGTATTCGAAGGGGAGACCCACCAAAGACCAAGAAGCCCATTCCACGCATTAATGAGAATGGGAAATTTAAAATCATGCAACTGGCAGATCTTCACCTGAGCACTGGACTTGGCGTGTGTCGAGACCCAGTTCCGGTAGAGCCCGTGCCTGGTCAGAAGTGTGAAGCGGACCCTCGGACCCTGGAGTTTGTGGAAAGACTTCTCGACGAGGAGCAACCCGATTTTGTTGTCCTGAGCGGTGACCAAGTCAACGGTGAAACTTCGAAAGATGCCCAGAGTGCGCTCTTCAAGTCGGTCAAGTTACTTGTCGACCGCAAGATACCCTACGCAGCCATATTCGGCAACCACGACGACGAAGGCAACCTTAGTCGAGAACAGCTTATGACCATACTTGAAGATCTGCCTTACTCCTTGTCGACCGCCGGCCCCGAAGATGTGGATGGGGTTGGAAACTATATTGTCGAAGTCCTCGGTCGTGGAACGACCGCGCACTCGGCTTTGACTCTGTACCTGCTCGACTCGCATTCCTACTCTCCAGATGAACGTCAATTCCGAGGCTACGATTGGATCAAACCGAGCCAGATTCGGTGGTTCAAAAACACAGCGCAAAGCCTCAAAGCAAAACACCATGAATACAGTCACATGCACATGAACATGGCTTTTATTCATATTCCGCTTCCAGAATACCGTGACTCCACAAATTACTATAGAGGGAATTGGTCGGAGGCCCCTACCGCACCAGGTTTCAACTCTGGTTTTAAAGATGCTCTGGAAGAGGAAGGAATTTTGTTCGTGAGTTGCGGGCAGTAAGTACCCTTTTTGATACTCGGGGAACGACCTGTGAGCTGTTCGCTAACATATCTCCAGCGATCATGTCAATGATTACTGCATGCTTAACAAAGATCGAGATCAGAAGCCGTCTCTCTGGATGTGCTACGGAGGCGGCGCTGGCTTCGGAGGCTACGGAGGTTATGGTGGCTATGTCCGTCGCGTTCGTTTCTATGATTTTGACATGAACCCCGGGCGCGCTGTGACGTACAAGCGACTTGAATACGGCGAAGTAGAGGCCAGGATCGATGAGATGATGATCATCGACGGAGGTACAGTGAAAGGACCCGACGAAAATCATTGAGCGTTCTGAGTCCCTCCACTTATATTAATCTTCCTCTTCTTGAATCGTCGCTTCTGCCAGGGAGTGCTCTTTACATGTGGCTTCGAAGCATTTTCGCAGTGATGCGTAGCGACACTCTCATACCTTGATGTCACGGCATAGGATACCCTGTCTATGGTTTACACATTACTATGGTTTACACATTAATATCTCGGGCGCTTTTTCCTGCAGTCTTTGTACCCTATATATTGAGTGTGAGAAGACAGGTTAGCATGGGTCTGAATTGTCTCATCATTGAACAAAGGACCAGGAATCTCAGTCTGCAGCAGTCTTCTAGAACATCTGTGATTGTTCACATGCAAGAATACAAGCGCTAGCATGCCTTGCCTCAATACAGTCTCCCACACCTTACGAATGAAATTTTTGATCACCACCATTTTTCAAAAAATACCCGCTCCTTACCATCTCCCAGCAAACCTCGAAGAGTACTCGCAACTTCATCTGTCATCTTGGGTGGCCCACACAGGTAGCAGACCGTCTCCTCAGGCCTAATGACACCGTCACGTCCCTGGAGCGCCTGCCGCAGATCATCAGGCTGGAGTCTTCGTGCATGAATAGTCAAATCCTTTTGAGGCTCCGACAGAAATGGCGCGGACTCATCGTGGAGGTTAGTGAGGAAGAGATGTAAAGAGATCCGCAGACGGCCCGACTCCGACTGGCAGCGAACGATTTCGCGAAGCCGTGAGAGGAAGAGGATTCGGTCCAGGTATGCTTGGGGGCTTTTCTCAGGGATGGACGGGACTGCTGATCTGGGGATCTTGGTAGAGTAGAGGAAGTGAATGTCGGAGGGCTGGTGGTGTAGAGCTGTCTTGTCATTGTTGTTGTTCAGATGCGAGAGCATGGAGATCAGAGGGCTTGGGAGATGGTCAGCTACCACTTTCGGAGTTGTTGACTTCGAGGAGTGCATACTTGATACCCACTCCGCCGGCGATGAAGACGACCTTCTTGATTTCATCCAGGTTGATTCCGGAGGGGGGCCAGACGAAACTGCCCCCGACGCGGATGCTCAGTTCCTTCCCCAGAATCTCGTCCTTGGGGCTCCAAAGCCATGCGCTGGCTGGGTTGGATGGGGCTTGCTGGACGGCTAGTTCCACGTACGGTGCTCTGCCTCGCGGGTCCATCGGTGGGAGGCCCGTTTCCTCGTCCGTGGGAGACTCCAGGGGAGGCCCTGGTGAGGGAAGGACCTGAGCATCTGCTGGGGTGGAGGTGATGCTGAATCCACCTGCGTTGGAGATGGCGGGTATATGCACGTCTAGCCATTGGCCAGGTAGGAACGTGAGCGGTTGTGGTTGATCCGACTGTGAGGTGGTTAGTTGGGCTGTGATATATATATAAGGTGATATAGTTGCGAAACAGTATACCTCTCCATCATCTCGCTCTTCTTGCCCCTCCAGGCTCTGCACATGAGGAGGAATTGTTAGCTGTATCAACCGCACAGTAGGATTGACCTCATCGACATGTGAGAGCCGGACGGTAAACATGCGGTTCTGTCGGGGCTCTGCCGCCGTGCGCACCAGATGCGGCACAGAGGCCTTCCTAGTAGATGGCTGATCCATCTGGCGTCGGATCACACCCGGAACGGGCTGGTGAACGGACAGGGGTTGAAGCCGCGCGAGGAAAGGCACACGCTGAGAGACGAGGATGCTTGGTGGGTGTGGTGAACGGTGGAGTCGGTTGCACCACAATACTCGGGGAGTCTGCATCCAGATGTTCGACCTACTGGTTTTGACGTCAAGTATCTATATTTTTAAAACTATCCACGTAGGCTTTGACCTCGGAGACTTTGTCAAAAACAACATTGTATGATCAGTCTAGATTGTGTCGACTTCTGATGGCGGTGGATGAGTGGTCTTTACGACTATTGTATGACGTTTGTCTGCGTGTCATACTGGAATCATCCTCCATCACTATTCCATCTCTCTTCCTTATCCACTTCCTCATGATGGTTCAAGTGAGAGCCTTAGATCCATTTACTTCCTGCGATGAGGTACTGTATGAGTACGAATGCTTGTTTTGCATTAGTCATGCCAAATGGCATGATGAGGATGAATAGTACGGCGAATTAGACTCTGCTGCATACTCAATCACAGCTCCCATCGGCGCTTCGCTTTTTGACAGGCCATTGACTATTTCACATACTGATAGATGACTTGGTGACTAGCTACTAGTCCAGCTCCTCAGGTCTTCTACTCCAGAGCTCTTACGCCCGCCTTCTTGAGCATGCAGATCGAACTCCTCGTCACACGGGCTAGTGTGTGATGGCTGGCAGCCAATGTGCGTGTTCTGCAGCCTCATTGGCGATAGATCCCCGGCTTCGTGCCTGTGCTGGCGCTTTCAAACCCGCAAGCATTGGCCAGATGCACCAGCAGGAAACTTTTGCATGTCTTAATCCTCGACTTTCCTGGCTTATCGTTGCGGTTGGTGCCCCTCTTCAGGTCTGGTATCTACTTACAGGGGCACCATGAACGACAGAGTGCCAGAGGCCATATTTGACCTTAGGTAGTGGTCTGGTGGTGCTTCTGTTCATATCTAAACCGCGTTTCCGGCTGATCTACGGAGCTGTTTTTGTGATTGTTGCTTGTTTGATTTCTTCCTCTGGTTGAGTGTTTGGGTTCCTTCAATGCGAGTGAACTGAACGCCCAGCCAGCCGGACTGGCCGCCAGTGGACAGTTATTTTCGACTACACATTCGACGAAGACAAGGTCTTTCATACTTGACTTTTCGGATAGGCCCGTCCCTGAGCATTGAAGATTCGAAGTTATACGAAGGTTCTGGTCGCCATGTATTTCCCACGGAATCATCGCCATCACAAGGTACTTTTGTACTTGATGGCTGTCGAGCTGCCGTTTACCATTATTATCCTTACATTCACTGGAATCGCATCGCATAATCTATACCGAACAAAACTATGGCAGGATGGCGCAGACAACGGCTTCAACAGTTCCCCGGACGAGCAGTTGTATGCGGCTGCCAATTATCGGCCTTACAAAGTGCCTATGGTCTGGAGCGGATTGTAGGTTTCTTTTCTTGCATTGTACTCTGGTTCTTCCTCTTATCCTGAGTTCTTGTTCACTTGATCCTGAAATCGGAGATAAATCGCTGACGCTGGCTGGGGCTGCAGCATCACCGATTACAATCTGGTACTTGGTGTCTTAAGTACATTTTTCCTGATCACCAAAGTCCCTGTACATTTCCTTCGACTATTCTATCCGCCCTTATCGGTAATTGTCCATGGTGGTCTTTTTGCAGTATACATCGTTTCCGCTCGGTACCAGGCCGGCAGTGATATGTCGGACCCCAAGCACCCACAGCCGGGTGCGCCGTGGTACATCACGAAGAAGTGCACCGTTGCAGCGCATAAGGACAATATCAATTACTGTCGTCAGGCGAAGGCCCTGTTTGCGTTCACAATAATGATCATGTGAGTACCTTGTTCCTGCGACTCAACCTTCAAGGCTGTGATTGACGGAAGAAACAGCGTCCTCTATTTTGTCGAGTTCGTTCTGAGTATCCATTCCTGCATCCTGACTCCGGAAGAGCGCGCAGAACGATTGGAGCGGGCCGAAGAGAAGAAAAACTGGAAGGAATATGAAGAAGCCGTTCTCAAGACTCCTTCGATGTTTCCGATGAGCCCAGCTTATCCACCAGAGGGCATGCCTGCTATGACACCCCGTAGCCTTGCCTTCAACCGATTAGGAGGAGACACATCATCCGACCTTCCTCTCCGGGAATATCTCAGTGGTTCAAATCCCCGCCACTCGATGCAGCAGGAGTCGTCGGCGGAGACTCTCGCATCAGGGCAACATGCCCAGGCTGGGGCAACGACCCAGCCACAGCCTCAGATGTATTTCCCTCCGCCTCCCAAGAAGGCCGCTAGAACGTGAAGGCGCTTTTTCAATCGTGCTGGGGTGTGTATAGGATGTGTGCGACCGTTATTGAATTGAAACTTCGCCGAATCTGTTGATTGCTGCTCTAGTCCCCTATGTCCGTTCATTCTTTCGATCAAAGTTCCGTTGGTGGAGCTGGTTGCGAGCCATCGATGTGCCATTGAGAAGGCGTCGCCATTGTTTTTCAGATGATAAGAAGAATTGCGATCGGTATCGATGCTGTAATTCAGTTGATCGTAGTCATTCAGCGTAAACTAAGATATGATCCGTAAACGCTGGAGACTCATACTACCTCCTCCACCAGATGGAGGGGCGTAAGAGCTGATCTATGTCACAAAGCCAATGAGATGGCGCTCAGGTTTGCCGCATATGCTAATCGGCGAAAGAGTATGAAAGATCACCCAGAAGGAGAAGAACGCAAGGGTATCTCTTCGCAGAAAAGAAAAAGGAGCGCGAGAACTCGATGATACGCGCCGATATACTCCAGGGTTGATAATCAATTTGATTCCTGACGTTTCTTCTCTTTCTTGGCCCAGCGTACTATTGAAGACAGCAGTCAGTTTCAGTCGAGGAATAAACAGGAGTAGCTCTGGGGAAGCAACTTACATCCACAGGCATTGCACAAGGTCTTTGGTCCCTCCGGTCCCTTTCTCCATTCGGGGGAATCAGAGGTCCCGCAGTCGGTGCACAGATACTCTCCCTTCAATCTCTTCCTTCGGTCGATCTCCTGTGCGTTTCGAGCCTGCTGCTCAATCGTGGCTATATCAATATCGCAATGGACAAGACGGCCTTGGCGGACGCCCGTGCTGAGGCCCTGAGACCGCTCGCCCTCGCCGTAGTACAGCCCCGTCATGACCTCAATTCCGTCGATGTGGGCCAGCTCTTGTGTCTGACGTATAGTGCTTTCAAGAAGCGACCCGGGCTCTCCTTCATCGGTGTTGACCGTATCGGACGACTCGTTCTCCTCACCTGAGCCGGTCGCATCGTAATATGTGAAGGAGGGCAGGTTCTGGCGCAGGGCAGATGATCCCGAATTTTGCTTGAGATACGACTGTCGACCTGCACTTAGGTCTTCCTCCTCTTCCACCCTGAGTTGTAAGATACGCTGATTGAGCCGGATATTCTCGATCTTGTGTTCGAGAAAGGAATCGAGCAGCGCCGAGCTCTTGGTGGGATACGGTCGGCAGACCAGGAAAACACCCTTGCAGGTATTATTCTCGCCTTTGACATGCGGATGACCGTGCGCTTCTATGATGCAAAAGGTATTATTCGGCTTGTAGAAGCGGAAATGGCACCGGAGCGGACGGGCTGTGGCGATGCACTCTTCGAGTTCACGGGCGAAGACGGACTTGTCGTCATCGTGAATAAAGCGGGATAGGGCGTCACGTTCGATCTGCTTCGACTCGTATCCGGTAATCCACTTGCAGGATGGTGAAGCGTAGAGAACTGTGCCATCGGGATGAAGGAGGAGGAGCATGTCTTTCATTTCGGCGAGGGCACGCTGCGCCCAACCCTGTTCTGTAGTCGCATCGAGATACGGCTGCGGTTCGGCATCTTGGGGGATGGCATTCGAATAATTGTTGCTGCTTTCATTGTTAGAAAATGACCGCGGGACTGTTTGCACATCCATCTTATATCGCGTGTCTCTCTCGTGCTGCAATGCGTATGTCTGGTTTGATCTCACTCTGTCCGCCTCCAGAGGGGCGAATTCCATAGGCGCGCGGAACCAGGAATGGCGAAATGGTCGTCAAATGATTTAATACATTAAGCGAGAGACTTGATGATCAAGTACCGAGACTGTAAAGAGGCTCGCAAAATCTGATCGTTCGAAAATGACAAAGAGATACACAGAAAAAGAGATCGAAGGAGTTACATATAGAATGTGAATAATGACTGCTACTAAGGCCATTCATGGCCGCATTTCCATCTGTCCTGTCTAACCAGCAAGCTACTGCTTTAACCTTCACCACCCTAAGGTGATATTGTCACCCAACCTCAGCAAGCACCCCTGTTTATTTCAGCCCACAACTAAAGCAATGCCAAAGATAGTCTCCTCTATTTTCAACCAGCACAGTCAGGCGCTGTACACAATGCCACTCATCCAGAGCCCCAAAGCCAACAAATGCCTTCTATCTTTTAAACCGATTCTTTGTATTAACTAAGACATCGCGAGCTCTTTTGTGTTCAAGTCTCACGATAGAACCTCTACCACCGTCAACCACCTTGGATCCGTGGCTTGCATTCAATTTATCCAATCTGCAAACATGGGGGAGATCTCCCCCAGACCCTCCTCGCCTGACTCATTCAATGACTTCTTCCACCATAAATCATGGCCAGAGCCATGGACCTCTCCGGATTTTCCCGCAGACGAACCCTGGCAAGAGCGAGACCGCCGCTTTCAGAGCTATCCATGGTGGAATACCGACAGGCCGGCGAGGTTCTTCGCGGAGTATTATGAGTACATGTGGCCATGGGGCTATTTCATCTACCGGACTTGTTATGAGAATGTCTCCGAAGCCGATTGGAAGGAGGCGATGCGAAAGCTCGATGCCTGTGTTCATTGCTTCCTCCGATCCCGTCGGACATTCAGCCATCCAGAACCCATCTGGCTTATTTGTGAGGGTTACAGGAATGTAGTCATCGAGGATCGAGAGCTTCTTGAGGGTGCTTCTGTCCACCAGGTCCGGCGCCTATTTGACGATTGGATGACTCGCCATGACCAGGACGGCACTCCACGGTCGGAGTTTTGTCTGATGATTGACGATAAGGCCCTCTGGTCCATCCTCAAGACCCCGGAACCCTCCGAGGATGATAGCTTCTTGTTTGGATTAGACGCCGGCTACGTGATTCTTGTTGCTCGGAGGTTTCAGGAAGGCGGAATAAGGGACTATGAAAATTATCAAGGATTTTTCCGTCTGGACATCACCGGACTGTGGACTTTCATGGATGACTATCGGAATGATGTCTTTTGGAGAAGAATGCCCCATATACCGCGTCCCGGCCTGATTCCATGCACTGATGGGGCCCATACACATGTAGAGGACGAGGATGGGACGGTGGTGGCGGCGAGTGCGTTTTCGAGCAGGTCCAAAGTAATCGGGAAGAAGCCTCGTGCGATATCTTAAGGGTCTTGTCTAGATTCCTTGTGTCTATGCTTGGTCCAATTCAACTGGGAATCTGTTGAATCTGTTGCGGAGTTCTCTAGAATCAGAACCCGGTCGACCAGTCAGACATACCCCAGATCACTATCTATATCAGGGGCCAGTAAACAGTCACTGGATTCCTGGTCAAGAAAGTTAAGTGAACAAATACAATCCAGAATTATACTTGGTCTTTTGAGAGATCTGTAGATCGGCAACCCAATTAGATCAAGCAAGCGTTGCCTTTGTCGGTGTATCTTTCGAATATTTAATCTGTCTACATTAAGGGGGTGTGTCATTAAGAACTGGGATTATTTATTACAAGCTTTAGACTGTGATATAAAAGTAAGTTGAGCTCAATGATCTGCCTAACTATCTGCAAGATAGATACATGGATAGCAGATACCCTCTCTGCTCTTTATTACTCCGTGGAAGTAGTTCCGTGGCCGCGTTGCCGCTCTAGATTCTCCTCTATTCGGGCATTCGCGTAGGCCTTCGGATGAATCGTTGTATCTGCTCTTCAGTCATGGGATGCGAAAAACAAAGCGCTGGCAGAGCTAATTCCCAGACAAGCTTGTTACCAGAGTTCTGATGCACTCGGAGCAGGCTCAGACTGTTCTTGATCTCCCCCCCCATCCACCGTCGGCAGGCGCAGACTGTTCCTGAATGCCACCCCATTCATCATCATTGGTCGGCAGCAGTTACATCCGTAGAGGTCATGGGGTCACTACCATTGGTATGAGTAGTGACAAGCTGACCATCCACGACTCCACGGATCACAGGCTGCCAAATATGAGGTATCGGGGTGCGGGCTCTGGCTTTGCGAAGATGACGGAGAACATCGCCAATATAAGCAATCTTCCGTAGCTCACCAGGACTAGCGTTGGGTCGTTCCAGTTGAGCCCAGCCTCCCACGATGTACAACCCTGCCCGCGCACGGCTGAGGGCCACATTCAGCCGATTAGGGTCACTCAAAAACTGGAGGCGGGACATTGCAGTGGTGTCAAAAATAACCACTGGCGACTCACATCCTTGAAAGCTATCGACGGTATGGATGCGCACTCCTTTCAGCTGGTCGTTGGAGCCGAAGAGGTCGTAGTAGAGGTGCATCTGGCCGCGATACGGGGTGAGGACCGTAATCAGATGAGGAGCGACAGGAGTTCTGGCAAGCAAGTCCAAGATGAGAGCATACACCACAGCAGCAAGGTCGGGGTTGATCCGGGAGCGCTGTCGGGAATCGCAGTGATCTTTGGCCCCAGGCACGTCAAGGAAAATTAGAGAGCCAGCCTTGCGGAGGACTCGACGGTTGTAGTTGGAAACCATGGTCGAGGTCTGGCTAACACTGGAGTCTAGAGATTGGGCGGTGGAAAGCTGTGAGTTATAGAATACTCCACTGACCAAATCACAGAGTTGGGTCACCATGCGATGCTGCTCGGTGAACATGACATCCATAAGACCATTGAGCTTGAGCCGTGAGAAAAGGGATATCGCAAGCTGGCTTTGAAAAGGGTTCTCATTGCGACGGCTGAAGACAAAGGGCCGCAGTTGCTGATGGTCCCCAACTAGCAGAATGGCACGCGGGTTAAACCAGGCAAGCATGGGCCAGAGTTCAGGTTCAGTCAGGCGCGCAGCTTCATCCACAGCAATCACAGCAGGCTTAACATTCTCACGGACTGGTGTGTCCCCAACAGCAAAGGCAGTTGCAACAACAACATTGGACCGGGCAAGGACATGATTACGCAGTTCACGGGTGCGGCTGCGGAAGGTTTTCAGTGCGTCATTATCGAAGTCATAACCGGCTTGATACTGCAGGAAGAATTCGTGGAACTCCTCATATGCCTGTGGTTCAGACCAGGGCTCAGGTATCACGCCTGCGAGCTGGAGCATCCGGTGCCCAAGACTCAGCTGAGCATGTTTCACCCGGCGGTCTGCTACACCAGCAGGCCGAGCCGTTTCCGCAGCATAGAAATCAGCAACCAGCTTGGCCAGAACTAGGGCGTCAAGTAAGTTGTCCTCATCATCAGATGGGTCGAGAATGGGAGGGCGTGCATCAGTAGGGCGAGGGCGTTGCCGGGCAGCTGGCTCCCAAGCCAGCTCTTCTTCAGTCGTCATTGAGTACAGCGAGTGACTAGCAAGTCCTGCCCGGGGCACAGCTGCTGAATGATAGCGTCCATTGTCTGAGCCAAGTGATCAACAACATCATTAGAGGGCCCAATGAGCATCACCTGCTCAAACTTTCTCTCAGGAGATAGCACTTGCGTCACAATGGGAAGAAGGGCATGCATGAGCCAGAAGGTTTTGCCGGTGCCAGGCGGGCCTTGGAAGAGCCCCACCCCATTTGGTAGGGAACGGAGTGCGCGGAATGCCTCTTCCTGCTTTGCATTGAAGGTAACCAGCGCGTTGGGATGTCCATCCGACACCCCCTCGTACATATTGACTGGTCGGAGGGTGGAAAAGTCATTGGAGTGGAGTAGTCTGCTTAGTCGCCTGTGGGGTTCTATTTCACGCAAGGCCGAAATCTGGCGGCGAAAAGGATGATCCGAGTAGAGAACCTTTACAAGGACCATCTGGGGTTCATGGGCTTGGATCGTGCGTATAGCACTAGGTATGTCGCGCAGATCCTCGACAGGGATTGGCTGGGGCTCAAGCCCATCATCAAGCTCATGCCACCCGGACCCTGCCGTCCAACGGCGGGTGAGAAAAAGGGTCGTCATTCCGGGAGGGGTAACGGGCATGGGGTCAGTGACGGTGGCATGCCAGTCTGAGTCCGGATCCGCTTCCTCGGGATCCGAATGGAAGTTGATCTTCAATGCGTCACCGTTGCGCAGGTCCAGCTGTTGCTCTGCTGGAAGAGAGAGGAAGCCCAGGTAGCGACGGTTACCGGCACGCGGGATAGTAATTAGACGGAGTTCAATAGGAACGTCCTCAATAGCCTGGACCATCTGGACGTGATGTTCATGCTCATAGATCAACCCAAAGCCAAGAGTAGTAACGTACTCGCTATGGGAGTTGAAACTAATCTTGGTCTTCCGTTCAACGAGGGGACGCTGTTCGGGAGCAATGTATTCCCCAACCTGGATGGAGTGAAGGTTAGGGTGCTTAGGGTACCATCTATTGAGGGGCGGACTCTGCAGGTCGTTGCCCATGCGTGCCCAGACCACACCCATAAGAGTACGAACCTCGAAGCCAAGTAGGCAGAGCGTGATCTGCTCCTGCTGGAAGTAGGAACGGATGGCACTCATGCAAGCAGTCTGGGTCCCAAAGGTCCGATGATTGAAAAGGTTCGACGCGTGGAAGCTCCGATGGGATAGACCGAGATCTAATCGCCAGACAGATTGTTGTGCCACAGCCGATTGAAGACCAGAATGATGATCATAAAGAAGAGCTGGCACATGTGTCTGGCCGTCCTGCAGCTCCTCACTGTCTGGGACACACTGACGCAGATTAAGCTCACTAATGATCGAGCGGGTCAGGTAAAGACTGGCGGTATCTTCCTACATCTCAGTGGTCTCGGAAACATTGTAGCGAATGAGAAGTCTAGAGGTAGTTAGCAAACAGGGCCATGATTCAGAAAGGTAGGAAAACCGACCGAATCTCAAGGAACGATTCCACCCCCAGTTGGTTGCCAGGGTGGACGCGGATTTTAATCCCCGGGCCATCGCCTTGCCAATGACTAAGGACACTAACCAATTCTTCCTCATTGTACTGGACAAGCACGGCCTGGAAGGAAGGACTCCCGCTGACCTTGGTCTGCTGTACCAGATGGGTACGAAAAAGGCCACCCTCGTCGTCGCTGATGTCCGACATTCTTGATCGAGATGGTGACTGGCTCAGATCGCTTCAGGGAGAGAATGTGTTATCATCTGGTGCAATGTCGGGGATAGAATGAACAGTGACTTACTCGACTGAGAAATGAAAGTTTGTGTAGAGGTCAGGTAACAGTTGATTAGGAGGAAGGAGATGAGGATGCAGTAAGAAACAAATTGGAAAGAAAAAGATGCAGGAAAGATGAAGTAAGAGGGATCAGTTGAAGAAGGTAAGATAGACAGTGTGGATAGAATTTTTCTTGCTATTCACTCACAACATTCACACATCTAACCCAAACACATCAGTTTACATGAGCTATTCCTTCCTTATCACCCCATTTCTAATATCTCCCTCCATCTTACTTCTGTAGCCATCCTGGCAGATCACTGCTTGGTGTGCAGTAGGTCCAACTCAAGTCATGATATAGGAGATGATTAGCTGATATCAACTTCAGCTGTGTGTAGACGTAGCGCTCTGTCATTTTGTAGAAGAACCGGACAAGAAAAGCTGCTGATGCTATCGAAGTGTACGGAGGAGAGAGATACAGGGAGGAGCTAAGGTACCTGGGAGTCCATCTGTGCAACCAATGGTGTGAATGTCTGAGTTGCCAAGCTCTGCCCGTTTCCGGGTAGTCTAACCACTTTTGGCGCGGAGGCCTACAATTTCCATTTCCTTGGTTTAATCTAGTTACGTTTGCCGACTCTCCGACCTTAAGTTAGGTAAGGCAAAGGGCAAGACATGCTTTCTGACATTATACAGAGTTGTCAACCTACTATTAATTAGTCAATAATAACAAGCAAGGCTCTCTCCAGTGGTCCCATACAATTATGTACATAATGCATTTTGCCATGGTGACTTGTCTATCATCATTTCCTATGAAGTGCTTAAAAAGGCTTTTACACTATAGAATAGAATAAGGAAATGGCAATCAGCTTTGAAGACCTCATGCTAGAACTAAAACTTGTGTAAATGATAATAGTTCTCTCTTTACTATATCTAGACTCTTAGTCAAGCAGCACACTATAACCCAGAATCCCTTATCTCACTAAGAGGAGACGTAGGGTAACGGAGGGAGAACCACTATTGATAAGAGAACAAGCATGCTATCTTGCAGAGAATAATGATGATAATGTTGCAAGCAGACTATCGTCTCTTTCAAGCTCATAATGTCACTGCCTATATCACGTGACTTCGCGCTTCCACTCCGCGTGTCTTGACGCGCAGGCAAAAGCGGCGATATTGATAACGAGCTTCGGTTGGGCTTGGGATGCACTGACAGCGTTGGGGCGGATAGCGGCTCGACATACTTTGAAGACTTATTAGAGCTTGGTGGGTAGCACTATTAGTGCTTGATTTCAACATGTGAGTCTGTGTGCTTCAGACAGGAATAATATCGAAAACTGATAAGCTTGGCAGGTGTAAGTGATGCGGAGCTCGATGACCAAGCACGAGACTGACGCTTTGCTCCGACTATAGCGAAGATAGACAAGCTTTCAATCCTTGGGTGCGTCCATTCTTACACAAGTATTGATTAGGGTTCGATTTGTATACTGATCCGTGACTTCTTTCTCAGTGTTCGTTCCTTCGACAACACCCGCAGTGAGACCATCCAATTTCACACTCCTCTTACATTGATCGTCGGTTATAATGGCTCAGGGAAGACGGTATGGCCTCGGCAAGCGGGCGGCTTATAAGCATCATTCGTGCTAAGTGGGAATACAGACAATCATTGAATGCCTCAAATATGCCACTACCGGCGATCTTCCACCCAACAGCAAGGGCGGTGCTTTCATCCATGACCCCAAGGTAACCTCTGAACTCTTTCATACTAGAGAAGTGTTGCTAAATTATCGCGCAGCTCTGCGGAGAGAAAGAAGTCCTAGCCCAAGTGAAGTTATCATTCAAGAGTACATCTGGAGCGAAGATGGTTGCTACTCGGAGTCTACAACTTACAGTGAAGAAAACCACTAGACAACAGAAAACCCTCGAGGGACAGCTTCTCATGGTAAAGGATGGTGAAAGAACAGCTATCTCATCCCGAGTGGCAGAGCTGGACCAAATCATGCCTCAGTATCTTGGCGTTTCGAAAGCCGTCCTAGATTCCGTCATTTTCTGCCACCAGGATGAGAGTCTCTGGCCCATGAGCGAACCCTCGGTGCTCAAGAAGAGATTTGACGAAATTTTCGAAGCTATGAAGTATACGAAAGCCATCGACAATATCAAAGCCCTGCGGAAGAAGCAGAATGAGGAGCTGGCAAAATACAAAATCATGGAACAGCATGCCAAAGAAGACAAAGAAAAAGCTGATCGTGCAGAGAAAAGATCCATCAAGCTTCAGGATGAGATCGAGGCGCTCCGCGCCGAAACCCATCAGCTCTCCCAGGAGATGCGCCGTGTCGCGGAACTCGCTGACAAAGCTTGGAAAGAGTCTGAGAGCTATGCCCAGGTTTTAGGCACTTTGGAAGGAAAGCGTATTGAGGCAAAGAGTCTGCAGTCGACAATTGACAATCTCAAAAGGCACCTTGTTGAGCTTGATGATCCAGATGAGTGGCTGCAATCGAACCTAGAGCAGTTTGAGTCGAGACAACTTCAATACCAACAACAAGAGGAAGCTCAAAAGGAGAATTACATGGAGATCAAGGACCGGATTGAGCAAACCCGTCAGAAGTTGGGAGTCAAACAAGCCGAATACGGCAAATATGAGAATGACAAAGCCAACTTCGAGCGCCAGGTAGAAAGAAGACAGAGAATGACAAGGGAGATTGCTCGCAGTCATAACATCCGAGGCTTTGATAATATCCAGGATCAGTCCGATATTGACGACTTCATGCGAAAGATTCGGAAGCTGTTGAAGGAGCAAAACCAAGCGCTGGAGCGCGTTAAGCGTGAGGCGCAAGCTGAGCTACGCGAAGTACAGTCTACTCTAAATGAGATTGGGCAGCGAAAGTCTGCGTTGCAGGAAAGTAAGAATGTCGCCAGGCGTCAAATTGCTGCAAATGACAAGGAGGCCTCCAATTACCAGGCGAAGCTCAATGAAATTGACATCGACGAGGGCGTCCAAGCTGCACTTGAAGCAAACATTGAGGATATTTCGTCTCGTCTAAATGATGCCAAAGATCGTGCTCGATCGGCTTCATTGGACCAAGAGATTCAGGACGTCAATTCAGAACTCCACACCGTCGAGGATGAAGGCACCCGCCTCAATGCTGAATTGATCGAGGCCACAAAACGAGCCGGGGATTTTGCCCGGTTAGATCATCTCAAGAAGGAACTCAAAGAGCGAGAACGCAGCTTGGAAACTATGAAAGCTGCCCATGGCGAACGTCTTGCAAAGTACATTGGTGCAAACTGGGGTCCAGCCACTTTAGAGCAAGAGTTTCAGCGTGTCCTTGAAGAGGAGACGGGAAACGTCTCTAATGCCGAAAGCCAACGCGACGGCGTCAACAGGGAGTTGGAGCAGGTCGAATTCAAGCTCAAGAGCGCCAAGAAGACTCTGGCTCAGCGACAGAAAGAGCTCAATAGCTGCGCCAAAGAGATTCGTGAAGCCATCAATGAGGAACCCGAGGAATATCCTGATGCAGTCAAACAACGACAAGCGCAACTCGATGTCGCTAGAAGGGACGCCGAGCAAAGTGCCGGACTCGGCGACTACTTTATGCGTTGTCTGGAGACAGCCAAGCAGGTAAAAGCCTGTAGACTGTGCCAACGAGCGTTCAAGGCCGACGCAGAATTCACTGTCTTCCAGAAACGATTAGAGGGCTTGGTGAAGAAAGCACAGATGGGTGTGGAGGAAGAAGATGTTGAAAGATTTGAAGCAGAACTCGACGTGGCCCGTGCAGTAAGTACAGCTTACGATACTTGGACTCGCCTCTCCAAAACCGAGATTCCGGAACTAGAGAAAGAAGAAGACCAGTATGTTCATCAGCGGGATGAGCTCCTGGACCAATTAGAGAATCATGACAAGATCGTCAGCGAGAAGGTTGAAAAGAAGCGAGACGTTGAGGCTTTGTCCAAAACTGTCAATACGATCGTGAGATACGACAGCGAAATCAAGACCATCCGGTCCCAGATACAGGATCTATCCGCCAATCAGCAGGACAATACTGCTACACGTACTCTGGAAGATATCCAAGAGGAGATTGCCGGCATTGGCGAGAAGTCTAGAGCCCTGAAAAAGACCCTGTCCAAGCTCACAAATGACAGGGAGCAGGCACGGACTGAAATGAATAACTTGGAGTTGCAACTCCGAGACGCGAGAAGCAAGCTTGACAATGCGAAGTTCCAACTAGAGAGAAAGTCAGACTTACTTGCTCGCATTGAGGAATATAGGAACCTTAACAACCAGCAACGGGAGGCAATCGCAAAGGCTGACAGAGACATTGAGGAGCTGACACCGGTGCTTCTCAAATACCAAGCTCAATATGACGATATCAGCCAGCGGGTCGAGGCCCGAGAGAGGGAGATGCAGCAAGGAATATCTCAACTGTCGGAAAACATACGCCAACTGGACCTGGCGACGGAGGAGATTGATTCCTACAACGAACGAGGCGGACCGAGTCAGTTGGAGCGTAGTAGACGCGAGCTTCAAGCGATCGAGACTGAAATCGGCCAGCTTGAAGCCGAACAGGCCAATATTACCAAAGAGATTAACAAGCTCTCGGTACAGCTCAAAGACAGCGAGAACACAAAACGCCAATACTCCGACAACCTGACATACCGCCAGGCAACTCGAGCACTTGCGGAGGTGTCCGCAGAAATTGAGGATTTAGCAGCTCAGAACGCAGAGGTGGACCGAAGTCGCTTCAAGGAGGAATCAGAGCGCCGAACCCGCGAACACAACGCGCTTGCTGCCAAGCAAGCGAGCAAGATGGGAGAGATGAAGTCTAAGGATGACCAATTGATGCAGCTTCTGGCGGATTGGAACACGGACTACAAAGACGCCGCTTCCAAGTACAAGGAAGCGCACATCAAGGTGGAGACTACCAAGGCTGCTGTTGATG